CCCAAAAGCAATCCACAGTCATCTGCGTGTGTCTCAGCATTCTGGTTTCCTAAGCTCCCAAAGAACGGCCCATTGAGCTCTGAATACTTAACAGCTTTTCCAGCCCAGAGTCCTTCTACAATCCTCCAAAAGCCAGCATAGTTAGGTGTGTTACAACAATACTCCATGATCCTGCCTCCCATTTCTATCTTCGGGTTTTTATGCTGTGATGAAACACCATGGCCAAGAGCAGCTTGTGAGGAGAAGGGTTTGTTGTGCTTACATTTCCATGTCACAGTTCTTCATCTAAGGAAGTCAGGACGGGAACCTGGAGGCCGGAGCTGATGCAGAAGTCATGGGGGGGGGGGCGGGGGGGAATGCTGCTTACTGACTTGTTCCTTGTGTGGTGCGGGAGAATTGTCTGTATTCTGTCAATCATGTTTTAAATAAACACTGATTGGCCAGGCAGGAAATATAGGTGGGAAAACCAGACAGGAAGTAGAAATGATGTAATGAGAATTCTGGGAAGGAGGAAGTGGGTTCCTCCCACTCCTGCCCAGACCACAGAAGCAGCAGGATGTGATCTGCCCCACTAAAAAAAAAGGCACTGAGCCACATGGCTAACATAGATCAGAAAAGTGGGTTAACCAAGATGTGAGAGTTAGCCTATGAGAGGCTAGAACTAATGGGCCAATCAGCTTTATAACTTATAGAACTCTCTGTGTGATTTTCTTTGGGACTTGCTGGCTGTGGAGAACCGGGCGGGACAGAAAACCCCACCAAACAGAACTCTCTTGGGCTTGCTCAACCTGTTTTCTCATAGAACCAGGACCACCAGCCCAGGGATAGCACAATTGGCTGGGCCTGCCCCCATCAATCACTAAATTAAGAAAATACCCTAAAGGCTTGCCTGAAACCCAATCTTATGGAGGCTTTTGCTTGAGGTTCCCTTCTCTCCGATGACTCTACCCTATGTCATGTTGACTTAAAAACTAGCCAGCACAAAGGCCAGGGTCAACCTTCCTGACCCTGGAGGCCTAGAACTCTGAAGCTGGGACCAAGTGAGGGTCTTTGACCACTGTAGCTGGGAACGCTGTGTGTTTTTTTTTTGGGGGGGGGGCTAGCCATCAGTGACCCTCTGTAAAGCCGCCCCAGTGTTGCCTATGTTACTAATTTTTCTCTGCTTGATCATTCCCACCGGTATAAAACACACTGGCCTTTCCTTCACCCTGTCTGAACCCATTTCCACCCTTATTTCTGGTTCTCTTTTACTTTTCCCTGGGGGAGATGGGTGTGTGTTGCGGGAGCTCTTTCTGCTCCTTCAGCCAATAGCCGATGAGATACCAGCCCACTGGGGCGTGGTCTCTCTCCCTTTAAAAAAGCGGCCACTTCCCTCTGCTCACTTCTGGCGAGTAGGCCCCATTCCTGATTGAGCAGAGGGCTGTTGTCTGGGACAGTGATCTGTAAGTTTTTCTCCCTTAAAATAAATAACCTCTCTAATAATTCCAAACTGGCATGGGAATGTTTGTGACTTACGCCTTCAGGTGTGTGCGTGCAGATTCTTGCTGTGACCCAGTCCTCAGACTGCCGAGTTCCGGGACTGAGCTTGTCTGTTAGCTCATCCGGGCTTTATTCTTCTCTCCATTTTCCCTTTTTAGGACTCTTCACTTATCCAAAAAGAGAAATCAGAGTATTCCAGGTAGTTCTGAATGCTATGGCCCTTCAGGTAGGTTGAAATTTCCTCTCAAATATTTTTGTTTTACGTTTTATTTATTTATTTGTTATCCAGTCTTACTGTATAGTCCTGGCTAGCCTAGAACTCACTATTAGACCAGGCTGGCCTCAAACTCACAGAGATCCGCCTGCCTCTGGCCTGCCTCTGCCTCGTGAGTGATGGGATTAAAGGCGTGGGCCACCGCACCCAGGCTTTATTTGCATTTAGTTAGTTACTTTGTTTACATTTAGTTACTTAGTTACTTTGTTGGTGTTGCGGTGTCTGTGAACTCGGAGGTCTGAGGACAACTTGAAGGAGTCAGTTATCTCCGATCACCCTGTTCCCAGGGATCTAACTGAGATCACCAGATCTGGCAGCAGGTGCCCTTTGCTGCTGAGTCATCTCACCAGCCCCGTAATTTCACCTAACCCTTGAGAACATAGGAGCATCTCTGTGCCTTATGCCAAAATACCTCTGTAACCTGCTCTCAGGGAGCAAGTGATGGGCCCCGCCTCCCTACTTCCCTGCCTCCTCTCTTCTTGGCACTATTTACAAAGCTCTCACAGGGTGCCAAAGGGATGGAAATACACTCTCCTGAAGAAGACAGTAGCTTACTTTCTTTTTACTATCAGTGGGACTGAGGATGAGGTGACCCTCTCCAGCGACTCCGGCGGTTTCCTTTCCTACGCTGTTTCATGTCACTCCCTTTTAAGAAAAGTATTTCATGGGGGAGAGATGGCTCTGTGCTTAAGAGCACTGCTGCTCTTCCAGAGGATCTGGATTCATTTCCCAGCCCCCACATGGTGGCTCACAGCCATCTAACTACAGTTCCAGGGGATCAGAAGCCCTGTTCTGACTTGCATAGGCACCAGGCACACAGGTGACGCACAGACAAACATGCAGACAAGACACCCATACTCATAATGTCATGCTGTCAGAAATTATATACAAAATCTTATGTCTATCATAAGCTGGTGGTGGCCCACACCTTCAGTCCCAGCACTCGGGAGGCAGAGTCAGGAGGATCTCTGTGAGTTCGAGGCCAGCCTGGTCTACAGAATGAGTTCCAGGACAGCCGGAGCTACACAGAATAAACCCTGTCTCAAAATTGAAAAAAAAAAAAAAAGAAAGAAAATAAATAAGTCTTTAATTCAGTAGTTATATGTAAGTCTATCTATCGTCTCAGGAAACGGTGACCTTCAGGGATGTGGCCGTGGAGCTCTCGGAGGAAGAATGGCAGTGTATGGACCCTGCCCAGAAGGACCTGTACAGAGATGTGACTCTGGAGAGCTTCAGTCACCTGCGCTCACTAGGTAAGGCCACACAGGAAAGGGGACACCCCAATGGAGACAGTGGGAGTTGCTGTGTGCACCTCTGGCCTGCAGGGTAAAGGAAGGGACAGGTAAAGGAAAGATGCAGCCAGCAGCAGTGAGCACTCCATGTAGTTCCCAGGTCAGAGGGGAGGGAGAGCTAGGAAATCCCCCACCTTCACCGCCCTTGACCTGTGGCCTGCCAAGCATAATGGGAAAGCCAGGGACAGGCAACCCCGAGGCACAGAGCTGACTTGGCATAGCGGAGGGGAGGGGGAAGGTTAATGGATTTTAATCCCAATTCAAAATCAATGGCCTGAAATTTCTAGGGATTTACTTGTTTTTTGAATTCTAGGACTTGAACCCAGTGCTTTACATATTCGAGGCTTTCTGCCACTAAGCTACAGGCTCAGCCCATCCCTTTTTGACTTTCTCAGCCCACTTTCAAATGTCACACTCAATGTCTGTTCTCCATTTTTCCTAAGAATTGTTTTGGGCTTTGTGAAGCTGCAACTGAGCCATTCCTCATGGCGCCTCCTTCTCCCTGTCCTTTGAACAGTCTTCACTCTTTTTTTTTTTTCTCCCTATTCTTTGGGTCCACACCATAATCCCAGCACTTGGAGGCGGAGGGAGGAAGGTCAGGAATTCTAGGTCCTCTGTGTTAAAGCAAGGAGAAAGACCAAAACCAGTTAAAATAAACTGTATTTTGGGGTGTACTTGGACTGGCCAGCTGCTGTCTCACCTTCAGTTGGGGTTTGAGAGGACAGCCCCTGCTGGCCTCTTGAAGTCTCTTGTATAGGAGAGATAAGGTATCTCCCCCCCATTCCCAGGGTGAGAGAGTTGGCAGCTAGACTTTTTTAGAAAGCACAGTGAAAGGGAGGGGGAGGGATGAGGGTCAGATGTACATCAGGTGAACGGGGCTGCAGGCAGTTTACATCAGCGCTAGGAAACAGGAACTTTCCCTCCCTTCCGGTTTTGTTTTGTTTTTTAAGACAGGGGTTCTCTGTGTAGCCCTGACTGTCCTGGAATTCACTCTGTAGGCAGGCTGGCCTAGAATTCACAGAGATCTGCCTGCCTCTGCCTCCTAGGTGCTGGGATTAAAGACATGCACTACCATGCATGGCCAGAGTTTGAAATTTAATGTTCATTTGTTATTGTTGTTGCTGTTGATTTCATATACATTGGTGTTTGGTGTTTTGCCTGCATGTATGTCCGTGTCCTTTGGAACTGGAGTTACAGACAGCTGTGAACTGCCATAAGGTTATGGGAATTGAATTGAACCTGGTCCTCTGGAAGAACAACCAGTACCCTTAGCACTGAACCATCTCTCCAGGCCCCAGAGGTGAAGTTTAAACAGTCTGATCATGCCTCATTTCTCTTCCCATCAACAGGACTTGTCTTTTCTAAGCCTGAGGTCATCCTCTTATTGGAGCAGGGGAAAGAGCCATGGATGGTTACAGATTATATGACAAGGCCTTGGCAGCCAGGTGAGTAAGACCTGACCTGGCTGGAGAGGTCATGGGACTAACGGTACCATGTGTCTACTAGAGCTGTAGCAGGGGTGATTGTCAGGAAGCCCTGAAAGCCTGCTGTGGAATAAAGGCCTGTGTTAGGAAGCAGAGCAGGACTGTCAGCGTTGGCCTGGCTGTGCACATCAAGTACAAATGTAAAGACATTCTGTATTAGATAGTATTTCCTCCACTGCCTCTGCCTTCTGTGGCTGATAAATCAGGCAGTTATAATTGGGGAAAATATTTAATGTATATGTATTGTCTTGTTTTTATTTTTGGTTTTTGGTTTTCTTGTTTTTGATTTTCAAGACAGGGTTTCCCTGTGTTAACAGTCCTAGCTGTCCTGGAACTAGCTCTTGTAGACCAGGTTGGCCTCAAACTCATAGGGATTCACTTGCCTCTGCCTCCTGAGTGCTGGGATTAAAGGTATGCACCACCACTGCCCGGCTTATTTTTATTTTTTGTATATGGGTATTTTGCCTACATATATGTCTGAAGCATATGCATGCCTGGTTCCCAAAGGAGGCCATAAAAGAGCATCTGATCCCTTGGAACTGGAGTTACAGAGCCGCCATATGGGTTCTGGGAATTGAACCCATGTCTTTTGGAAAGGCAGCCAGCCAGTGCTCTTAACCAGTGAGCCACCCCCTTCCTCTTTTTTTTTTTTTTTCCTCCAAGCCAGGGTGTCTCTGTGTAGCCCTGGCTGTCCTGGAGCTCTATAGACCAGGCTGACCTCGAACTCACAGAGATGCACTTACCTCTGCCTCCTGAGTGCTAGGACTAAAGGCATGTGCTAGCGCTCTCTCTCTCTCTCTCTCTCTCTCTCTCTCTCTCTCTCACACACACACACACACACACAGAATAAACACTTTTATTCTGTGAGTTGCAGATTCTGACTGTCTGCCTTCCGCACTTTGGTTTTCCTCAGGCAGAGCTCCAGCTGCTTGCCCTCTAGCAGACGGGTTCCTGCCCTGCCCCTGCAGCCTGGTCTGAGGTGATGTAGGCAGAAGCTGCCCTGCTCCTCCACTGCTCCTCCATAAATCCGCTGCTTTCCATACTCTTTCCTCCTTTCATCACAGTTCTTTTGAATTTTCCTTGATCCTTTTTTGTTTAAAATGCCTTCCACTGTAGCCCAGGCTGGCCTCAAACTCAGAGCTCTGTCTGCCTCTGCCTCCCGAGTACTGGGATTAAAGGCATACGCCACTGCTGCCAGGCAGCCAGGGCCACACAGAGAAACCCTGTCTTGAAAAAGCAGAAAAGCTGTAAAATCCCTTCCTCCTCAGGAGTTAGCTTGGCCTGGGCTGCAGTGTGTAGTGGGGCTCTGACCTGCCGAGTGCCCTCAGTAAGCACAATGCAGAGAGTGCAGTTCTTCCCGGGGCCCTGGTGCGGACCAGTCTGTTATTGGATGTGTTGCAGACATCAGTGATCCTTGTCTTGTGAATACAACATTCAAAGCCCTGGGAAAATTTCCCCACATCCAGTCTCGGGGCACAGGACTTTTTATTGCCTCCTCAAACTCAGGCAGGTGTACGACAAGGGCCATTCTGAGTGTTGGCAGCAGGCCCTCCCAGCTCTTACCTCTTCTCATGGTAGAACTTTCTTTTGCTCCGGGTCTTATGGCAACTGTCTCAAAAGATGCCCATCCATCGCTAGATGTAAATATGTATACAGTGTTCTGTCTGTGTGTATGCCTGCAGGCCAGAAGAGGGCACCAGACTTCATTACAGATGGTTGTGAGCCACAACGTGGTTGCTGGGAATTGAACTCAGGACCTTTGGAAGAGCAGGCAATGCTCTTAACCACTGAGTCATCTCTCCAGCCCCCAAGAGATTCTTAAAAACAATAATTGTTACGCTTATTTAGTGTGTGTGTTCATTCATATGTAGAAGTCAAAAGTCAACTTGCGGGTATCAGTTCTTTCCTACCACCATGTGGACCTTGGAGATCAAGTCAGGTTGGCAGGCTCGGTAGCAAGCATCTTGCTGAGCCCTCTGCCCAGCCCCGTTGTTTCCTCTTTGATTTGGTCTGAGGTCTTTGAATAAGGGACTTAATTCTCACGCATATAGTTAGTCTGTCTGTTCAGATGTCTCTGCTTTGCTCATAGACATGCGCACACGCCAGGAGGATGCTGGGACTTGTGTACTAGTAATGCATTTGCTGGGTGACTCTGGTCGATTTCAGAACTGGGACCCTCGGGCTCACTTTGTTTTCTTGCCCCAGTCCGGCAGCATGTGCGCATCTACCATATTTGTGCCCTCACAAAGCTGCTCAGTGTCTGAGACATAGTAAGTCAATTTTTTTATGGTGAAAATTTTCATTCTATCTCCATATTTTCTGTGGTGTTTTCATGCCTCATGGTAAAAAAACAGTTTGTAGTTGTTTTTCTCTGGTTTCCAGGCGTGGCATCGAGGGCTGATAGAGTTTCACAGCAAGGACTTTTGGAAATAGAGTCCTTTAAAAGGGAGGAAGTGAAGAGCTTTCAAAGCTGTGGCCTTGAGGACTCCCATGGCACAGAGGACCGGGCATGCAGAACCCAGTTTGAGAGACAGCCATGGAGTCAGGAGTGCCATCTCAAGCCAGTGGAAATCCCCTATGGAAGCATGCCTGCTTTCAAGCCACGCACATCCGCCGCCCTGTTACATCAGAGCCGCAGGACTCAGGAGAAACCGCTCGAAGGCAGCGACTACGGGAAAACATTTAGCCAGGCCCCACCCCATATGCAGCACCAGAAGACTCCTGCTGCTGAAAAGCCTTTTGAGTGTAAGGAGTGCGGGAAAGCTTTTGGGCGAGCCTCACACCTCGTTGAGCATCAGAGAATCCATACAGGTGAGAAACCCTACGTTTGTAAAGACTGCGGGAAGGCTTTTTTTCGTAGTTCCCAGCTGACTGTGCACTGGAGAACTCACACGGGGGCTAGGCCCTATCAGTGTAGAGACTGTGGAAAGACCTTCAGACAGCACTCACAGCTCACCGTGCACCAGCGAATCCACACCGGGGAGAAGCCCTACAAATGTAAGGACTGTGGGAAGGGTTTTATCTATAGCTCAGAAGTCACTCGCCATCAAAGAATTCATTCTGGGGAAAAACCTTATGAATGTAAGGAATGTGAGAAAGCCTTCAGACAGCACGCACAGCTCAAGCGACATCAGACCGTTCATACTGTTGACAGACCCTTTGAATGTAAGGACTGCGGAAAGGCCTTTAGTCGGGGTTCATACCTCATTCAACACCAGAGAATTCACACAGGGGACAAGCCTTATGAATGTAAGGAGTGTGGGAAAGCCTTCATTCGTGTTTCCCAGCTGACTCACCACCAGAGGATCCACACCTATGAGAAACCCTACATATGCCGGGAGTGTGGCATGGCTTTCATTCGCAGCTCACAGCTGACCGAACATCAGCGAATTCACCCTGGAATCAAACCTTATGAATGTAGAGAATGTGGGCAGGCCTTTATCCGTGGCTCACAGCTCATCAACCACTATCAACAAGTTCACACTGACTAGAGGGTTCTGGGATACTTGTGCACTCTGCAGAGATGTATCGCTGTGATTGTTGCAATAAAAAGCTGAATGACCAATAGCTACACAGGAGGTACGGGTGGGATTTCCGGGGAGAGAAAGGGAGAAGAGGAGGAAGCTAGACACACAGGAGACGCCAGGAGACAGAGAGGACGCAGAAGGTGCAAAATGGAAGAGAGGTAATGCCATGTGATAGAACGTAGATTAATAGACATGGGTTAGTTTAACTTATAAGAGCTAGTTAGGAACAAGCCTAAACTAAAGGCCGATCTTTCATAATTAATAAGAAGTCTCTGTATCATCTGGGAGCAGGCCGGCAGGACAGAAAAGGACTTGCTACCCTAAAGTCCTAAACATCAGTTGCAGAGACAAGCCTTTTCGCAAAGTTCACATCTGGCCAGAGGTGTATCGCCCCCAGTGTGACTAATGTCAGAAAAAGTTCATTCATCTCCTCTGTTAAAGGGATCAGAAAACTCAGTGCCAGCAGACAGACCCAGTGAGTATGGGAATTCACTTCGCCTAGCTCGATGGTTACTAAGCGTCAGCAAACCTGTGCTAAAAATAGCTTCATATGAACATAGAAAAAATCTCTGATTGCCTCTCAAAATATGTTCAATTTCTGAGAATCCCAAATAGACCGTGATCCTGATTAGATTTGATTTGGTGTGCTGACTAGTGCCTGTGCCTTTTGGTCGGTGTTGCAAAGACCTTGACATTGCTCCCACTGATTAGTGAATTTCGCAATTTTGACTCTCCTTTTTACTTCCTTGTTTTTTATTTTGTTTTTTTGAGACAGGGTCTCATTTAACCTTGGCTGGTATCAAAATTATGTAGCTGAAGATGACTTTGAACCCCTGATCCTTCTCTCTGCACCTCCCAAATTCTGGGATTACAGGCTTGCGCTGCCATGCCAGCTAACTTGGGGTTTGTTTTTTTGTTTGGTTGGTTTTGTTGTTTTGTTTGTTTTAGGGTTTGTTTGTTTTGTTTTTTGTTTTTTTGTTTTGTTTTGTTTTGTTTTTTTGAGGCAGGGTTTCCCTGTGTAGCCCTGGCGGTCCTGGAACTCATTCTGTAGACCAGGCTGTCCTCAAACTCACAGAGATTTGCCTGCCAAGTGCTGGGATTAAAGGTGTGCACCACCGCTGTTCAGCTGATTGTTTGTTTTGTTTTTAAGAAAGTGTCACTTACCTTGTAGAAGGCCTCCATGTTGTAATTTAACATGCATCTCTCTCTGGCATTTCCTACAACTGGGAGCTAAGGTTTTAGAGATTTAGCCAGATGTGGTGGCACATGCCTTTAATCCCTCTGAAGCACTCTGAAGGCAGAGGCAATTGGTCCAGGCCAGCCAAGGCTATAAAGTGAAACCCTGTCTCCAAAAGGGAGTGGGCACTGAAGCGATGGCCAATCATTAAGAGCATCCCTTGCTCTTGCAGAAAGCCTGAGTTTGGTTCCCAGCATTGTGGCTCACAACCATCCATAACTCCAGTTACGGGAACCCAACACCCCCTTCTGGCTCTGCAGGCACCAGCATGTACTTGGTGCTCATCAATTTATGTAGACAGAATATTTTTTTAGTTTTTTGTTTGTGTGTTTAAAATAGTTTTTTGGGGGGTTCTCATTTCAGGATAGGGTTTCTCTGTGTAGCTTTGGAGCCTGTCCTGGAACTCAGTCTGTAGTCCCCCTGCCTCTACCCTCCTAGTGCTGGGATTAAAGGTGTGTGCCACCGCTGCTCAACCATCTGCCATCTTCATAATGCTTTAACATGGTCACAATCCTGGAGCCCACCAAAGGGCTATTTAATTAAATAGTAAAGTTTTAATCATCAACCTTAAGTGATTCCATCATCCCCATCCCCAGAAGCCCAAGGATATTGGGAAGGATGGATGTCCAACCTTTTTTTCATGCCTTGGTCTTTCTGGTGACCAGCCCCATCTATCTATCTACCTGAGGACCTCTGACATCCCATTAGCAAATAAAGAAAACTGTCAATCACTCTGATGGTTCAAAGAATTTTAGGAACTGGAGGCAGGACCAAAGATGTTTTTTCTGTTACTCATCTGGTACCTTCATTCAGTCAGGAATATTTATGGGTTTTGTTTGAGGCAGGCTCTCACTATATAGCCTTGGCTATCCTGGAACTCAAGATGCTCACCCTCCCAAAAGGTTTACGGGTATGCACTTATGAGGTAGCGTAAAGTGCCGTGGGATGCATTGATTTAAAATCGGCAATCGTAAGCATGGTTTGGTGGAACCTGCCACTAACCGCAGTGGTCAGAAGGTCGAGACAAGAGGATCACAGGTTCCAGACAGGCCAGAACCGTGTGGCAAGGCCCTGTCTGGGGACAAAAGAGGTGTGGGTGGGGTGAGGCTAAGAAAGTAAATCAGAGAATCAATACATGGAGAGGTTCAGGTTGAAGAGCGGCTGACTTGTTTCAGCCACGAGATGGCGGAAGAGTGCTACCAAACAGGTTTTGGCAGCCTTCCACCACAGCGGCAATTTGTTCACTTGCTTACTTGCTCTTTTGTTTTGTTTTGTTTTGTTTTGTGTTTTTGTGTTTTTTTGAGACAGGATCTCACTATGTAGCTCTGGCTTATTTTTTTGACTTTTAACGTTATGTGCATGGATGTTTTTCCTGCATGCCTATTGTGATGACTTAAGAGAGGCCATGGGAGAAAGGAAAAGCCTCATGTCTAGGACTTTTGCATGGTCAAAGGAAGGAGACACAGTCCTGTGTAGTCAAGAGTTGCCTCCAACATGAAATCCTGTCTCAGCCTGAACCCAGGGCTTTGCACAAGCTAGACTTTGCACGATCTAGCTAAGCTCAAACTCAAGCCCCTAATTGGATTCTAGATAAACATTCCCTTGCCACTCAGCACTTTTATTTTTCCATTCTGTGTATGCATGCATGGGTGGATACGTGTGTGTGTGTAGGTGCATATTTCTGTGTGTGTGTGTGTGTGTGTAGCTGCATACTTATATATGGGGGTATGTGTGTGTATAGGTGCATATTTGTGTGTGTGGGTATGTGTGTGTGGGTTTGGTGCATATTTGTGGGGGAGGGGTATGTGCCTGTGATATGCATATGGTATTGTGTATGTGTGATTGCACACAGATGAAACAACTAAATGCAAAAATATTTGACTCGGGCTTCAGTTTTTTTCAGTGTGTGCTAGGGTGTAGATTGGGCAGAGCGGTTGCCCAGAGAGAGCTAGATGCTAGAATTGGTCCTGCACAAGAAACAGATTTCCCACTAGCAAGAGAGGCTTCTGTTTGATTTTCTCAAAATCACATTACTAGTTCCTTCTTTCTTCTCTCCTCCTGTGCTTTCCTTTTCGACGTCTCAGGTAGCTCACGTCAGCCTGGAACTTTCTGTAGCCAAGGCTCTGGTGTATATGATGGGAGGGCCCACGTTTGCCACGGGAGGACAACCTTGTAGACTGGCAGCGAGCAGCTACCCACAGAGCTGGCTGGCGAGCCCTTCTTTTTTTCTTAACTGTGCGAGCTGAATTATGCTCTGAGCTCACTTCATTGCCGCAATAAACCTCTGACTATAGAGACAAAAGGGTCAGAAATCTAAAGCGAAATGACCTATTCTCTAGTAGTTAGACCTGGTGACCCATATATGGTCTTGTTCTACAATTAAGCCTAACTCCCAATGGACCCTGGCGCCTCACCCAAATGGCCCGTCTTAGAGAATCACAGAACAGTGGGTTGCCCTCTTGACCTCAATCCAGGCTGAATCCCATATGAAAGGTCTAAGGAGCCTAACTTCAGCTACAGAAAAACCACACTTTTCTCTCAAGGGATCTCTCCCTCCCTCCCCTCTGTCCCTCAGTTTGCTCTTGTGTTTCTATTCTTTTTTTTTAGATTTATTTATTATGTATACAACATTCTGCCTCGATGTATGCCTGCACACCAGAGGAGGGCGCCAGATCTCAGTACAGATGGTTGTGAGCCACCATGTGGTTGCTGGGAATTGAACTCAGGACCTCTGGAAGAGAAGCCAGTGCTCTTAACCTCTGAGCCATCTGTCCAGCCCCTCGAGTCTCTATTCTTTTTTTTTTTTTTAGGTTGTTTTTGTTTTGTGGGGGCAAGGTTTCTCTGTGTAACAGCCCTGGTCGTCCTGGAACTCTCTATGTAGACCAGGTTGGCCTCGAACTCACAGAGATCCACCTGCCTCTGCTCCCCCACTACCACCACCCCAAGTGCTGGTATTAGTGTGTGCCACCACCACCACCCAGCTATTCTTTATCATTTATTTTTATGTGCATTGGTGTTTTGCCTACATGTATGTCTCTGTATGGGTGTCGGATCCCCTGGAACTGCAGCTGCAGACAGCTGTGAGCTGCAGTGTGGGTGCTGGGAACGGAAACTGGGTCCTCTAGAAGAGCAGCCAGTGCGCCTAACCACCGAACCATCCCTCCCACCCCAATGTGTGTGACAGAGTCTCTCTACACAGCCCTGGAACTCACGGTGTAGACCACTCTGCTTTAAAATGGCAGAAATCCACTTTCCTCTGTCTTCTGAGCGCTGGAATTAAAGGACTGAGCAACCACTCCCGGCTTTTTTTTTTTAATTTCTTAAATCAATTCTGACCGTGTAAATAATTTTATCTCGGTGCCTCCCTATTTCCTCAGGACACTGAGGAAGATTCTGACTTGGCTCTCAGGAAACAAATACGGAAACTAAGGCTCTGAGGTACGAGGTTCAGTCACTCACTGTGTAGACAGAACGAGGAGTTAATTTACCTCGGCCCTCACTGGCTCCCAGATACCAGCAGGGTAGCCCTAGATGGAGGCTGGGGAATGGTGCCTCCCCTGATACACCGTCTCAGCCAAAAAGTATTCTGTTGCAGACTGGTAGGTTGGAACACCTTTCCTCTGAGCTAATTGGACAAATCTGATTTGGCCACGCCCCCAACTGTCAAGCCCGGTGCAGCAGGCGTGTCTTGGGATTCCCTCAGGGGTAAAGAGCTGCACGTCCTTGGGCTGAGAGAGGAGGTGACTCGAGCAGCAGAGGACGCGAAATGAGGGCCTTGCGGGTGAGGCCCCCACGGGCTGTATCGGGGTGGAGGGGAACCCCACAACCCAGATACCTACCTTAAAACATGTCAGGATCTGGAGTCTTGGAACACGTGCACCCCTCGGAGTCTGGGACTCCCTGACATCCTGAGTTTCCAAGACAGTACCTCTAACCTGGTCCAGAATCCTGGGTTTAATCCTCCTTTTACCCGAGTTCCCTCTTAGCGTCCCTCGGAGCCCTAATACCAGCTCCGGTGTGGGTGTCTTGGGCAGCCTGGAAACTCTCAGGGAACTTCCAAGCCAGTCTTGACATCCCCGGGACCCTCTTGGCAACCTGCTGACCTCCACACCATACTCTTGGCATGGATTCCCTACCCTTACCCCCACCCCACCCCCTTTTTTTTTGGACACTGGGCATCATATAGCCCAGGCTGGCCTCTAACTTGATATGCAGCTGAATAAGTCTTTGAACTCCTAATCCTTTCGCCTCCCCCTCCCAAGTGTGATAACATGTGTAACACCTTAACCTCATTTTTAAAATGCTTACTGAGTAGCCCAGGCTGGCTCCAAACTCCTGCTCTTCCTGCTTGAATGCTGGGATTACAGGCCTCCACGGATTCCTTCCCCACTCTCACTGGTGACTGGTCTCATGCCTCTAAGACATGACAGACATTCTAAGACAGACATTCACCAGACAGTCCCTACACCCCTTCTCGCAGGACCACGTGAAGGCAGCTCTCCGGGTGCCACCAACCCACCCATCTCCTATCCCTCCAGGTCTCCCAGGCTTTGATTCGTCCTTTTAGCTCATCTGCCCGGAGCCACTTAGAAAATCGTGTGGCAGAGAAGCAGAAACTCTTCCAGGTAGGAGGACAATGTCCCTGGACCGACGGTGGGGTGGAGGTGCCATGCACACGGAGGTCTGTGCAGGGCCCAGTAGCCTGTTGTCACCCTCACCCCTCACACAGGCCAACAACGACCTCCCAGTACACCTGAAGGGCGGGGCAATGGACAACGTCCTGTACAGACTGACTATGACCTTGACGCTGGGGGGTGAGTGCAGGGCCCACCCGGTTGCCCGGGTTGTGGACTAGCCAGTCAGTCAGTGCTTCAGGAGGGGGGAGTCCTGAGCTGACAAGGTCTGAGGACGGGAACAAGGGGTCACCTATTGCCCTGAGGGATTGGAGCTAGTGATGGGTCTGCCCAACCCACCCCAAAATAAGCTCCTGGCCTGGTTCATATCAAAATGGGTGGGGGCGTGGGGGCGGGCGTTCCCTGTGAGGAATCCAGTTTGGGAGGAAGTTCAGAGCTGAACTGAGCTGTGATCCATGAGGGGCTGGGGGAACCTAGGGGCTTTTACAGGTCCTGTGAGAGGATGCGTGGGCATTAGGATCTCATTTGATGTCCATCCCTTCCCTAGGCACTGCCTACTGCTTATACTGCCTGGGCTGGGCCTCCTTCCCCCACAAGAAGTGACACCAAGAATGTTGGCGGACTTGCACAAACACCAATAAACATGCTAACCTCTTGAGAACCCCACTCGGCTCTGGCCTGTGTGTCTGTGTGTTTCAACCCACCTTCCCATCATCCAGGGATGTCTACCCAGTAGAAAGCAACTCACCCCAGCCCTTGGCCCCTCGTGCTGGACCATTGCGGTACTTAAGACAACCTGCTTTAGATGCCTGCTGGGGGACCAAGGGTCTGGAGTGGTGATGCTGAGTGGAACAGGGGTATTATTATCCAGCATAGCAGCCCCTCCCCTTGTAGAGGCCCAAAGGGTAGGGAAGGTGCTGGTCTAGTTCCAGGACAGCCAGGGCTATACAATCCGGAGACCCTGGCTCAGAAAGGAAGAGAGATGGCATGATCTATGAGCCAAGGGAGGATAAAGACTGGCACCAAGACTGAAGCCCGAAGGTGATGTGGCTGAGTGGAAGAGCAGAGAATCTGCCCGGTGTGTGTGTGTGTGTGTGTGTGTGTGTGTGTGTGGTAGAGTACTTGCCTAGCATGTGCAAAGCCCTGGGTGCCATCCTTTGCACCAATCAGGCAATCTTTTAAAAGACAGAAGTTCAGAGAGCTACAAACATGGCCCCAAGGGACAAAGAACACAGGGTCCCCAGGATCTGTTAACAGCTTGGAAGCTTTGGGAGCTGCAAGGGCATCACTGGGGATTCCAAGTCCCATCCTGAGCCTGCATGGGATCCAGGCAAAGCCTCAGCAAAGCCAGGCTGTCTCAGCTTAGAACAGTACGAGGAAAAAAAGATGCAGAGAAGGAAACACGTGGTCCAGCCCCAAAGACAGGCACCCCAACCACTCTTGGAGCTGGAGAGACGATACTTTGCTGTTATTGAAGAGGATCTGGGTTCAGTTCCCAGCACCCCCGGTGGCCCACAACCCTTTGTACTACCTCTGTTCCAGGGGATGGCAGATACATGGTGCACGTATGGGCATGCTCATTAAACACACACACTATATAGTAACTAAACGAATACTCAAGCCCCCATAAGAACATTCCTCCTCCCTGGACTCTGAGCCACCTCTCAACACTCAGGAGGCAGAGCCCATGGGAAGCAGCAGGTGGAGAGAGTTTATTTCCTCCTGGGCCTGACAGCTGTGGAAACAGTGCAGGCATTGGCACTAGGGTGTGTGGGCCTGCCATGGCCTGGAGTTTATTTGGCTGCCTGGGGAGGTGACTGAACGAGTGTGTAATAGGGTGTGTGGGGACAGGAGCGATTCTCCCAGAACTGAGACAGGGCCCTTGGGACATGGAAGCAACCGGAGTGCTAGGCTTGGCCCACAAACAGGATGAAGGTGATGAAGGGAACGGAGGGTGTGGGATGGGTGTGCTGGGGCGGGGTGACCCTTCAGCAGAGAGAGCAAACTAGCTTGTCTTCGAGCCAGGGGTAACTCAGGGTATGGCAAGCCGGGGCATGTTGGGCTCTGGCTGCTGACTGGGAAGCTGGGTACCAGACAGGGAGAAGAAAGCCCTGTGGATAGCGGGACACGACCGTAAAAATGTGGCTGCAGACAGGATCAGGATTCAATGTGGCTCCAGAGTGAGCTGAGGGGCAGGTCTGTGGTCCCAGTTCAGGAATACATAGTCAGCTGCAGCCACTGGAAGGGGAAGGCACAGATGAGCAGAGCGCCCCCAAGAACCAGACACCTCACCCAGGGCCTGCTGGGCAATAGGACGGGAGGGGCTGGAATCGGAGCTGAGCACCCACCCACAAGAGAGGCAGCCTTACCTCCTGGATGTTCACTTGGATCTGCCCAGTGCCATTTTTGTCAAGAGATTTGAAAGCACCTAGAAGTGAAAGGAAGAGAGAACTTGGGTGCTTTGGATGATATTATACTCACACATGGCCAATTATTCTCTGATGTGTATGCTGGGAATATGCTCTATTGCCATTGGTTAATAAAAAAGCTGCTTTTGGCCGATGGCTTAACAGAGTAAAGCCAGGCTGAAAGAGATATAGAGAGAGAGTAGGCGGAATCAGGGAGACGCCATGTAGCCCCAGAACACTGGGGGTGGAACTTTACCTGGTTAAGCCACAGCCACGTGGCGACAGACAGATTAATGGAGATGGGTTAGTTTAGGATGTAAGAGTTAGCCAGAAATACGCTTAAGCTATTGGCCAAACAGTATTGCAATTGCTACAAATTTCTATGTGATGATTTCGGGGGCTGGGAACGAGCGAGCGGCTTCCCCCAACAATTCTCTTTTTGTTAACTGTTGTTTTTGTTTTGTTTTCAGACAAGGTCTCACTGAGTATCCCTTGACTGACCTCAAAGTCGTGGAGATCCGCCTGCTTCTGCCTCTAGAGTGCTGAGACTAAGCATGTGCCACCTGACTGGCTACAGGATAATGATGATGTTGTTATGATGATTAGTTAACCCCCATTCATTCTTTTTTTCCTGTGCCAAGCAAGGACTGTGCAGAGAGCTTCAAAGGCAAGTGTGGCGGTGCACACTGTAATCCCAGCACTCAGATGGCTGTGCAAAAGGAAGGTCTTGAGTTCATATTACTCTTAGCTACATATGGGGGTAGAAGGTCAGCCAGGCTGCGTGAGACTGTATCTTAATAATAATAATAATATTAAATCAATAAAATATCTAATTATGTGACTGTGGCATTTTTAAACGAGGCAAAGAATTAGGGTATTATAACACAATGTGGTAGAGTACTTGCCTATGATGCCCGAGGCACAGGTTCAGGCCCTGACCCTCAGTAAACAGACAACTGAAGTGGCATGCTGGAGCTCACCCAGAAACGGACTAGAACCCAGGCCCATCCTCCCAGTACCTCTGCCCCATGCTCTCCAGGTGCAACCCAAACAGGCTCCTAAAAGGAGGAAACTTGGCAATAACTCCATGCTTCCTGTCCACAGACAACCAAGCCAGAGTTGCCCACACTAACCAAGGCTGAGTCACTACCTTCAGGTGGCCACATAGTGTAGTGGATGCCACTGGTGCTGCTGCTACCATAGGCCAGGGGACCAGAGGACATTTCTCCTGAAATTCTTATCGTCTGAGCACGGGGATGACAGGTGTGGGCCATCATTATCAGGTTAACAGGAGCATGGCGTTAACATTAACGGATGCATCTATGCATGGTATCCATGCATATAACTATGCTATATCCTAACCCTTTTAACTAAGTAACTAATTAATTTTGGTTTGAGACAGGTCTCACAAAACCAGGATGGCCTCAAATTTGCCAAGTAGTCAAGGATGACCTTGAACTCCTGACCATCCTCTTGCCTCAGCTTCCCAAGTGTTGGGATCACATTGTACCATAACACCCAACTCCACACTATACCCAACCACACACTACACCCAACTCCACACTATACACAACTCCACCACTACACCCAACCCCACACTACACCCAACTACACACTACACCCAACTAACTACACACTACAACCAATTCCACACTGCACCCAACTCCACACTACACACAACCCCACACTACACCCAACTACACACTACAACCAACTCCACACTGCACCCAACTCTACACTATACACAACTTTACACTACACCCAACTATACACTACACCCAACTATACACTACACACAACCCCACACTACACACAACCCCACACTACACCCAACTCTACACTACACCCAACCCTATACTACACCCAACTCCACACTACAACTAATTCCACACTGCACCCAACTACACACTACACACAACTCTACACTGCACCCAACTCCACACTACACACAACCACACACTACAAAGGAGCTTTGTAATCCAACTGACCCAGCCCTTCCCTTGCCTAGAATCTGCCCTGGCTCTACAATGCCCACTACAGTCTGAGCACCCCTGAGCTTGGCATTTACAGCACTAAAAAGTGCCCATGCCCATCATCCCCGTTTCTTCACATTGCTCAGTTTGGTCCTCAAACAAGCACAAAGTTGAATCCTGGCTTCCGATGTCCTGGCTGAGTAGCTGAGCACAAGCCAGGAAACTGAACCTTAGGATCCTCCACCCTAACAAGGGGGCAGCAGCCCCACTCCTGAGTCTTAGGACTCTTACATCAAATCCATATAAATGCTCTCACTGCAGGTGTGAAGACCAGAAGTTCAGGGTCACCCTTGGCTACAAATTAAGTCACATGAATAACCTGTCTCAAGAAAAAAAAAAAAAAAACAAAAAAAAAACCAAGCAAGACAGGGATGGAACAATGGCTCAGAGGTTAAGAGCACTGGCTGCTCTTACAGAGGACCTGTTTCAATTTCCAGCACCCGTATGGCAGCTCAAAACCATCTGTAACTCCAGTTCCAGGGGATCTGACATCAGGCACAGACAGACATACTATATAGGCAAAACACTCATATAAGTAAAATAAAATTTTAAAAACAAACAAAAAACAGGTCAGAAAGAAAGAAAGCCAATCTAGGTATGGTAGTACATGCAGAGGTAGGTAGCTCTCTGTAGTCTTGAGGCCAGCCTGGTCTACATAGCAAGCTGTAGGACAACCAGGGCTATATAGCTAGACCCTGTCTCAAGAGTGAATGAGAGAGAGAGAAAGAGAGAGAGAGAGAGAGAGAGAGAGAGAGAGAGAGAGAGAGAGAGAGAGAGATGTCCTCTGACCTCTACATGTAAACACAAACTTACTTAGTAAACAACCTTAAAACAGCGAGAGTCCCACCACACTGCCCCTTAGCTTGCAACACCCTTCCTTGCTCCCTCTAGCTCCCTCTTCCTCACGCCTCGTGTCTTAGTTCGCATTTGTCTTCCTCCAGGCAGCCCTCCCTGATTCCCTGGGTTGAGTCAGATGCTCGCTTCCCCTCACAGCCCAGGAGGCTGTCACTAGCCTATCCCATCCCCGGTGACCCCGGCATCATTCATGTTAAAGTCAGGCTTAGAGGAGACCATGGCCAGTGAAGGTTAGCAAAGCCCCAGCCTCAGAGAGATCCAGAGCGAGCGTCACTCACGGAACATGGCGTCCAGCCTGACAAGGCAGCTGATGAAGTTGTCGAAGTCCATGCTGCCATTCTCATCCGAGTAGCGCCGGATGATCATACTGTAGAGGTGCTCATTCAGGTGGAATCCTGAAAGGGCTCAGTCTCAGGGCAGGGCACAGGGTCCTTCTCCATCCCCAGGACAGTGGTGCGGCCTCGCTCACCCCACCTCTAGCCCATCAGAGCCCTGCCAGCCCACCTGCAGCCTCAAAGGCCCCCGGGAGTTCACTGGGGCCGATGGTCCCTGATCGGTCAACATCAAAGCGTTTGTAAATAGCCTGCAGGAGAGAGAAGACACAGTCCAACCAAGCATCGTGGAGCGTGGGTCACGGGTGTCCCCATGGCCCGGGGATCTGGATGCTGGGAGTTCCAGAGGCTACCACACACCTGCCACTTTTTAATGTTGTTCCAGAGGTACTTGAATTCCTCAAAGCCCAGCTTGCCTGTAGTATCACTCTAGCAGGAGCTTGTTAAGAAAAGCATGACAAAATACAATGGGGTGTGTGGATGAGTGTGTGTGGCAATGCCATAAGAAAACCTATTGTTTTGTAGGCTACCTTTAAAAAAATTAATAGAAATGAAATAAGCTGAGGGCTGGAGAGATGGCAGTTAGGAGCACTCACAGTTCTTGCTGAGGACTTGGGTTTGGTTCCCAGAACCTAAATCCTGCCGCTCACAACCACCTAGAATTCCAGGTTCAGGGGACACAATGCCCTCAGACCTCTGAGGACACTTGCATGCACACATACACCCAACAGACACAGGCATACGCATAAATAAAACTAAAATAAGTCAAGTCAGGCATGGTAGCACATGTCTATAGTTCTAGCACTTGAGAGGCAAAAGGAAGATCAGGAGTTCAAGACCAACTTTGGCGGCATACTGACTTCAAGGCCAGCCTAGACTACTGGAGACCCATCTCAAGAATCCAAAACCA